GATTAAATGACTTTGGTGAACCTTCAAAAAAAAAATACTCCTGAGATACAGATTTAAACTAAAACTGAATCTCTAAGGAACCCCAACACAGTGGTCTCACAGTGTGGCCTGAGCCCACATGAAAGCTCCTGTCCTTTTCAACCTCCACACAAGGCAGTGGCTGCAGCCACCGTGTCTATTGAAATCTGCCACAACCACAACCACCCTTCCAGAGAAGACAGCAGGACAATCACCTCACTTCACAGATGAAGCTGAGGGGTGTGCAGAGATAGATTTTTCTTTAGGTTAGGCAGGCTGTTCGGCTCTGTTGCTCTCAATTATAAAATGGACCACTTGACTATTGGTATTTATTATATTCTTACAGGTAAGTTTAACATTAAAGGCAAATTGAAAATTGCTTTAATATTTGTACTTACAAGCAACAGGTAAACAATGAACCATTACGACTGGGCAGTGTCACAGGGATATGGACTGAGAGGCAAGTAGGTCAAGCAAGCTTCACAACGGCATTTAAAGACAGGGAACACTGGCATGCTAAACTTGGGAGAGAATATATGACACAAACACCAAGTGACACTCAGTGACATTATGACGTCTGAAATATGATGCTTGGTACAGTTTAGATGCTGAATGTCCCCTCTGATGGCCATTCTTGGTTGTCAACTTGTCTACATCTGGAATTAACTAAAATCCAAAAACAGAGGGCACATCTGTGAAGGATTTTTGCTTAATTTGAAGTAGGCAGATCTTCCTTCTTGAGGCAGGAAGACACACCTCCAGTCTGGGCCATGCCTTCTGCTGGAAGCCTACATAAGGGCTTGGAAGAAGGAAGCTTTTGCTCTTTGCCTGCTTGTCCTTGCCTTGCTAGTAGGTCCATTTCTTCATTGGCATTGGAGTCTATTTCTTTGGGATTCCAGTATACACCGAAGACCAGCAGAGACATCCAGCCTCATGGCCCAAGATACTGAATGCTTGGCTTTCTGTTCACGGACAGGCCATCGTTGGATTAGCGGGACTGCAGTCTGTAAATCATTCCAATAAATTCCCTTTCTATATGTCCAGAGAGCAATTCATTCTGTAAGTGCTGTTACTCTAGAGAACCCTGACTAATACATCCCCCAAAGGTTTCCTAGCCCATGTTGCTACTGAGAGGTGAGAAAACTCTTAGTAAATAGGGCTAGTGGAAGGAAATTAGGTAATCGAGGGCATTCTCTAGAGGTGATATCAGGCCCTTTCTATCTCTTTGCTTCCTGGTTGCTTCCTCTACCATGAGTTCCTGCCATGACACACTGTCTTGCCATAGGCTCAAAGAAGTAAGTCCAAACATGGGTAATGTCTGACACAGTAAGCCCACACATGTATGATGCTATTCCTTCTTCATGTCAACTGTCTAGTTTACCCTAGTTTTCTGATTTCGGGTTTAGTTACTTAACAAGATGAAATCACAGCATGGAGGCCCAGACCTAATGTTTTATTCTCTTCCCAGGTCAAACATCTTTTATTGTCCAGTTGCAGTACAAAACAAAACAAAACACCCCCCCCCCAAAAAAAAAAAACCCCAATAAATAATACTGAGTGCTCTTGTTATGGAGCCAGGCAAAATTCAAACAAAAACTTCCTAGCAGCTAATAGAGAACACTCTTCTAAGTGAACTGAGTGTGGGAACCGAAAGAGCCCCGTTCCCATTACACTCTGAAGTCAAATCAATTGGCTGTGACAATGGTAAGACCTCAACTATTAAAGCCAATTAAGGCACTGGATGATTAAACCTTTATATATAAAGGAACAATAATCCAGAAAAATAGAATTAAAATAGTCTGCTAGCAGCAGATTGCTAGCATTCTTTCAACAACACTGATGAGATTTGGAATGATTACAGCACTAAGGATAGTTTCAGAAAACAACAGGTAGGTGTGGTGGACAGGGGGCTCACATTCAAGACTCAAGTCTACTTAAGGAAAAAAAGGATCTCACTAGCACTAGATTCCAGCTCCTGCTTTCAGGTTCACAAGTGCTTCTACAACCCATGAGAAGGACTGCAGTGCATGCAGCATACAGACCCTACACCACAGAGGCCCCCCCTGACTACACAAGTCTGGTGACATACTGGTAGAGCTGCTCTGCAAATACGTCGGCAGAAAACTTCTCTGCCACCCTGGCTTTTCCAGCCAGGCCCATCATAACTTTTAAGGATGGTTTGTGGATGAACTTCTCCATTGCTTCTGAGAAGTGCACTGGGTCCGGCTCACACAGAAACCCGGTGACCTTGTGGACGACAGTCTCCAAGGGCCCACCTGAATTAACAGCGATGACTGGGCACTGCATATACATGGCCTCCAGAGGGACGATGCCAAAGTGCTCATTGCTCGGGGTGTAAAGCACACACAAGCAACCGTGGAGGAGTGAGATCTTCAGTCTGTCTGAGAAGGACGGCAGGAAGGTCACATGGCGCTCAAGGTTTGACTGCTGGACTATTTTCTTCAACTCCTTATAGTGCTCCACGTTCTCCAGGATTCTATCGTCATAACCACCACCCATGAACAGATGAACCTTCTCCCAGTCTTGAGATGTCAGACGTCCACGAAGCTGGACGAGGGCGCTCAGTGCCAACGGCAGATTTTTCTTCCTTTCAAATCGGTTGATAGAGAGGAACAGGAACTGTTTCCCCTTGGGAACTAGGTCATCTATCTTCTCAGGAACAGCCAAGTCATAGCTGCCGATGTTCAGAGACGGGTACAGGATATCAGGATTTACGTGAGACAGGCTCTTGAAGGTTTCCTTAAAGACAGAAGCTGTGTACTGGCTGTTGACCAAGATGCGGTCTGCCATACCTGTGGTGTATTCCTCGATCCAGTCAATGGGGGCCCTGTAGAAGCGCTTCAGAGTCGAATTTCTCTTGGAAAGCAGCAGATCTGGGAAGTGACAGTAGAACAGGACCTTCTTCCGCCGTCTGGCCAGTTTGAACACTGGGATACAGGCGGACACCTAACCAAGGGAAAACCAACAACAGTAGGTGAGTGACTGGCCACAGTCTTTTCTTGGTTATAGCCCAGCTGCCTGGTATTATGGATTCATAGGAGCTGGGTAAATGTCTACATTAACCATGAAGACACAGTTTCCTCAGGATGCTTCAGTGCAACTCAGGATCATAAGTAAGGAAACCCCAGAGTAACTGTGGCTATCTCCACCTGTAGGTCTGGTTAGAGAACAATGGCTGGTAGCATCCACTGTGGATAAGAGCATGGGGTAGTCTATAGTACAGACTGGGAGAATAAAGTGTGGATAAGAGCATGGGGTAGTCTATAGTACAGACTGTGAGAGAATAAAGTGTGGATAGAGCATGGGGTAGTCTATAGTACAGACTGGGAGAATAAAGTGTGGATAGAGCATGGGGTAGTCTATAGTACAGACTG